CCAGCAAATTTGGAAAACTCAGCAGTGGCCACAGGACTAGAAAGGTCAGTTTTCATTCCACTCCCAAAGAAAGGCAATGCCAAAGAACGTTCAAACTGCTGCACAATTGCACTCATCTCACACGCTAGCAAAGTAATGCTCAAAATCCTCCAAACCAGGCTTCAACTGTACGTGAACCGTGAACTTCCAGATGTTCAAGCTGGATTTAGAAAAGGCAGAAGAACCAGAAATCAAATTGCCAACATCCATTGGATCATCGAAAAAGCAAGAGAGTTCCAGAAAAAACATCTACTTCTGCTTTATTGACTATGCCAAAGCCTTTGACTGTGTGGACCACAACAAACTGTGGAAAATTCTTCAAGAGATGGAATACCAGACCACCTTACCTGCCTCCTGAGAAATCTGCATTCATGTCAAGAAGCAACAGTTAGAACTGGACATGGAACAACAGACTGGTTCCAAATTGGGGAAGGAGTACATCAAGGCTGTATATTTTCACTGTGCTTATTTAACTTATATGCAGAGCACATCATGAGAAACACTGGGCTGGATGAAGCACAAGCTGGAATCAAGATTGCCAGGAGAAATATCAATAACCTCAGATATGCAGATGATACTACCCTTATGGCAGAAAGTGAAGAAGAACTAAAGAGGCTCTTGATGAATGTAAAAGTTGAAAGTGAAAAAGTTGGCTTAAAGTCAACATTCAGAAAATTAAGATCATGGCATCCGGTCCCATCACTCCATGGAAACAGATGGGGAAACAGTGACAGACTTAATTTTTTTGGGCTCCAAAATCTCTGCAAATGGTGACTGCAGCCATGAGATTCAGAGATGCTTGCTCCTTGGAAGAAAAGTTATGACCAACCTAGACAGCATATTAAAAAGCAAAGACATTACTTTGTCAACAAAGGTCTGTCTAGTCAAAGCTATGGTTTTTCCAGTAGTCATGTATGAATGTAAGAGTTGGACTATAAAGAAAGCTGAACACTGAAGAACTGATGCTTTTGAACTGTGGCATTGGAGAAGACTCTTGAGAGTCCCTTGGACAGCAAGAAGATCCAACCTGTCCATCCTAAATGAAATCAGTCTGGAATATTCATTGGAAGGACTGATGCTGAAGCTGAAACTCCAATACTTTGTCCACCTGATGCAAAGAACTGACTCATTTGAAAAGACCCTGGTGCTGGGAAAGATTGAAGGCGGGAGGAGAAAGGGCTGACAGAGGATGTGGTTGGATGGCATCACTGACTCAATGGACATGAGTTTGGGTAAACTCCGGGAGTTGGTGATGGACAGGGAGGCCTGGTGTGCTGCAGTCCATGGGGTCGCAAAGAGTCTGACACGACTGAGCAACTGAACTGAACTGAACTGTGAAGTTGAAGACACACTATGTATTGCAGTAATAACTCTCAGTTATTACTCTCAGCAACAATGTTAGATTTTTTTCCCCCTGCTTTCTATTACTCATATTCATCTGTGGCCCATTTGGAGCTTGAATTCATAATAAGAAAGGAGCACAGTCCCTTTGATGGAAAAACCTGCAATAGAAAGTACATGCCACAGAAACAAGCTTTGAACATTACAGTAAAGACAAGAAGCATTGATTGGAGTTTTCTTTCAATAATGGGCTAAAATACTGATGGGAATCCAAAGAAGCTTCTTATTTCTTCCTGTGCTGAGACTGGCAGCACCAAGGGACAGCAAGAGTTTAGAAAAAAACAGCTAATGTCAGCTCCTCCAGTAATTTCAGGCAGGCATTCATTGAATCGAACTCAATTCGATCCCACACTGGATGGGCACCAGAGTTTTGAAACTGATTCAGAGTTAGGAAGGCTCATTCTGTTGACACAAATTAGGTTTTAGATAAAGTCTTGACAGGATAAACATAGTCTGTTAATCTCTTAAACAAACTTTTGCTCTTTAAGACTACTATTTCCTTCAGCTGTTATGCTATGCTGTACTTAGTCGCTCAGTCGTGGCTGACTCTTTGCCACCCCATGGACTGTAGCCCGCCAGGCACCTCTGTCCATGGGGATTCTCCAGGCAGGAATACTGGAGTGGGTTGCCGTGTGCCATGCAATCCTCCAGGATATCTTCCCAACCCAGGGATCGAACCGAGGTCTCCCACATTACAGGCAGATTCTTACTTTCTGAGCCTTCAGGGAAGCCCAAGAATAGTGGAGTGGGCAGCCTATCCCTCCTCCAGAGAAATCTTCCCGACCCAGGAATCACATGGGGTCTCCTGCGTTGCAGGCAGATTCTTTACCAGCTGGGCCACCAGGGAAGGCCAGTTGTTATGCTACTTAATATTATTTTGACATAGAGTCAAATACAAATATGCTAACTTGTCCCTCAGGGACTGGAAAAATGCCAAATGATTTTAAATAATCATACATTTCTATGTCAGACCTCTCTGGGAACTTTGAGAAAATCTGTGAGAAGAAAATGAATATGTTTCTGAATACCAGAGTTGCACACTTGAAGCATCAAAAGTTTCCTGGTATCTCAAAATCTTTCACATGTTATTGTGTCACATGAAGCCAATTCATTTCCTGGGAGAGTGATCAGTGGTGTTGATTGGGGTATCATGGTGTTTAGAATTATGTTTACAAAACAAATTTTTGAATTTTGAGTCAGGAAAGAGCAGAGACAAATTAACACTGGCCATAGGAAAACATTTTCATTATAACAATCAAAAGACCAGCATCCATCAAAAAGAGAAGCATTCTTCCTTTTAAGGACTTTTGGCACCCAGGTGCCAATGCATCCAGGTATGACCCTAACCTGACATCACCCCAGAGGTGGGTCTTTAGGTGCCAGTTCTCATAGCACATGGCATATAAGAGTGAGCCATGAGCAAAGAAAACAGGGAGCTTCTGACACTACTCTCTTTTTTCCAGAAAGCATTTTTGGCAATGTGCACTGTGTCAGTGTACTTTACTGGATTACACACCATATCTTGTCATCATGTATAACTTGTAATATGATATAAAACGTTATATTGAACCAACCAACGAAAATAATTCTGTTCCTCATGGACAAATGGGCATACTTCTGTGATGAGTAACAGAGGCTGTTTCCATAGCATGCACCCTGGGGTCAAATCTTAATGTGCTTTGACTATCACTTTATTAAACAAAATGGGAAGTTTCTAATGTAATTGTGGGATGCCTGAGGTCTAAAACTATATACCTTTTTAAATAATAGAAATATATTTGTTACGTAGGTAAGTACATTGTATTTTATTGCTTCTTCAACACATCTTAAACTTAGCCACAAAGTTTTACCTTTGATGTCTAGTATATTCTGTGATAATAGCAGTTTTACTGTGCAACACAGATAATTTAATTTAACTGAAGAAAAGCTTTCATCTTTAAAATTATGCACATGTATACAGCAGTATGGGGCATCCCAGGTGGCTCAGTGATGACAGAATCTGCCTGCCAATGCAGGAGGTGAGGGTTCGGCCCCTGAGTCAGGGAGATCCCTTGCAGGAGGAAATGGCAAGCCACTCTATATTCTTGCCTGGAAAATCCCATGGACAGAGGAGCCTGGTGGGCTACAGTCCGTGGGGCCACAAAGTACTGGACACGACTTAGAGGCTGAGCACACATAGAGCAGTAGGCTGCTGCTCAAAATGATGGAACCAGAAATGTACTAACTGATGAAATGATAAAGATCATTTTAGGCTTAAACAGATTATATTATTGCTATTTTAAAATTTGAAGACATTATTTTTTTCTTCTTATATTGGAATTTTATTTTAAAAATTCTAAGTGATATCTAACTTCCTTCTAGTTAGTACTTTAAAAAGCTGTTGTCTTAAAAAATGTTTGCTTGAAATAAAGAGGTCAATGGAATTGCTAGTTTGTTTTGAGCTTTCTAAACCTGGAAACTTGGGAGCCCAAGTCACTTCCTTGAAGCAGCTGAACTCCTGAGGCTCCCCTGGGAATGTGCACATCCTCCCAGGGGTATCTCATTCTAGCTTATGTGCTGTGTGCAAAACAGGCTTGTCAAAGAGATGGCCCATGAATCCCAGCAATGGAAACCGATAGGCCTCTGCTAAAAACCTTCATACCCAGCACAGGAACCAGATGGACTGAAAAGAACTGAAAATTCTCCCAAGTAACTGTTTCCAGTAAAACAGCAACAGGCATGTCTTTAAAATTGATCTAAAGACAATCGACAGGAATGAGCAAGAAAGTATATGCTCTTTGTGTGTGTGTGTGTGTGTGTGTGTGTGTGTATAGTTGTTGCTGTTGTTATTAAGTCACTCAGTTGTATCCGACTCTTTGTGACCCCATGGACCGTAGCACGCCAGGCTCCTCTGACCTCTGCTATCTCCCGGAGTTTCCTCAAATTCGTGTCCATTGAGTCGGTGGTGCTATATATATATACACAAACATATATGTACACAAATGTGCACACACACATACACACATATATACACACACATAAGTTTTTAGATAAGAGATCACCAGAACAAAATCTTTTTCATGAGACAGTGCAGAGGGGTGGTTAGATGCACAGAAATGAATTATGTGAACTCTAATTCCAGTTCTATCTCCTGATTGTATAATCATCTGTAAGAAGATGGTCATAACAATTTGTTGTCAGAACAGTACTTGGCCCATAGAAAACCTGTGTCAGACTAGAACATTATGCCCAGAGATTTGAAAGAGAAAATAAAATGAAGGACACTAAGTAGCATATGGGAATCCATGGGCTGTTGAATCAGAGAGACCTACGTTCAAATCTTAGGTGATGCTCCTAGTTGGGTGAAACCTGTCAGAGCCTCCGTGTTCTTATTTTTTAAATGAAAGCACTAGTCCTGGAGTTGGCAGCTGAGGGGTGGATGCAAAGCCCCTATGCTCACTGAACATTCAGCATTAGAATGCCTTTCCTCACGACTCTAGAACAGATGGTTAGAAATGCAGAATTTCTTCATTTGTTTGTGTTTTGTGACTAATGAAATTTATTCTGTGTGTTTCTTTTAGGGTGAAAATGGTTTACGTGGCACTCCAGGCTTATCTGGTCAAAAGGTAAACAGGTTTTTTTTTTAATGTTTCATGTTAGTTAAGAACTTTAATGTCTCAAAAGTTGAAGTTGCACATAATATAGTGAAGGAAATCTGGTGAGACTGAATCAGTTCCCTGACTTGACCACCACTTGATCTTTCTTCCCAAAGAAACCCTTGGTGGCGATCCCTTCTCAGAGGAGCTACTCTAGGGGAGAGCTTTACCAGAGGGGCTTGTCCACACGCTTCTCTGGAGAATGGGTAGTGGTGCTTTCTGAGGCCTGGGAGTGTGACAGCTGCTCTGGGAATGTTTTCACCCAGAGTCTAAATTTTGGTGGTATTTAGTCACTTAGTCATGTCTGACTCTTTGGCGACCCCATGGACTGTAGCCTGCCAAGCTCCTTTGTTCATGGGATTTCCCAGGCAAGGATAGTGAAGTGGGTTGCCATTTCCTTCTCCAGGGGATCTTCCTGACGCAGGGATCGAATTCATGTATCCTGCATTGATTGGCAGGTGGATTCTTTACCGCTGAGCCCCAAGGGAAAGCTAAATGAAGACTAGAATAGGATTGACTGCTTTTGACTATTTGTGGTTACTTTTTTGTTATTTCCCAGATTGAGCTAAATGTTGTAATAGTTACAATGACATAAAATATTAAATATTGCAAAGATGTTGCAACTGATCTCCTCAAAAAATGTTTCAGAATGATAAATTTGTAAATAATAAGGATTTTTGCATTGGCCAGATTCTTTGGGCCTAGAATCTTTCTCTTCACCAAGGTGAATTTCATTTCATCCTTTACTGTCCAATGGCTGATTTCTTCTCCTGGGGAGAAATATGATTGGATGTGACCAGCATTATTGGAAACACGAAGACTGGCTTATTCCAGTTTTCTGAAGAGATGAGGGGCCACTTTGGGTGGGGCCATCTGTCATGATATCACCCAGATAACCTACCGCAGGGGAGAGCATTATTGATGCAATATTAGGGGCCCACCAGTCATGTCATTTCTACGCTCTGGAGATGTTTCACAGACTTTAGCAACCGAAGTCAGAAGTTACTATAGCATCTAGGTTTTGCTCTGTAGCTAAAAATTACCATAAAAAGATAGGCAGTTGTCTATAGTTATAGCTTTCGAAAAAATCTTCCTTTACTTGCTTGATGAAAATACCAAGATTGATTTGGCAGAGAAGAAATGGCAAGCCTTTGCATTTCTTCCGAGCAGTTCTAAACAAAACCCAGTAATACGGCATGCGCTGCATCTGTGAGTCGAGTTGCCAGCCAAGGGATGTGTAGATTTATCTGCTGGGAAACAGTTTTGGACTTTCCAGCAGTTGTTCGTGGTAGCTGCTCATGCTGGCATTGTGGCTGAGGTACTGGGCCATTTAGCAGCTTCGTGTCAGCTTGAATCAACAGATCCAGTTAAAGTCTATATTTGGGGAAAAATGGTAGAAAAAAGATAGACCACACATTCAGTGGCAAATGTACCCAAATCTAAGTTATTTTATTTCCTGGTACCTTTTTTGAGGATAGATGAAGCTGGAAGTGAAAGTGTTAATGGCTAAGTCGTGTCTGACACTTTGCGATCCCATGGACGGTGGCACATCAGGCTCCTTTGTCCATGGAATTCTCCAGGCAGGAATACTGGAGTAGGTAGCCATTCCTTCTCCAAGGGACCTTCCCTACCCAGGAATTGAACCTGGGTCTCTTGCGTTGCAGGCAGATTCTTTACCGTCTGGGACACCAGATGAAGCAGAAGTAATTATTTAATCATGTGTATATGTGTCCATATACACACATACATATGAGTTTATATATAATAGACTATATATAGACATAGGGAAAAGCTGCATTCCTTTTCTAATGTATGAATGTAAATTATATTGTGCCACTTTGTTTGAAGAATTGCAGAAAAAACCTGGAGATAAAAGCCCTTCATCCCCTTGTCTTGGTGCACTCAGAAAATGTTTACTGAGTGCTGCTTCTAGGTGGAGGGGTGTGTATGACCCTTCCCCAACACTTACTTGCTACCTATATTGTCATGAGTGCCTGACATACATTTGGGATTCAGTGACTAGTTATTGATTGTATGAATGAAGCATCAGTGCTCTAAATATCTGTACAGAGTTAAGTGGGAAAAAAAGCTTGTCAGATCAGAGAGGTTTTAGTTGAAGAACAGGGGGCTTCTACCTCTCAGAGTCAGTATGGTGAGTGAGAGCCCACCCTGTTCTGTGCTGGAGAGGCAGGCCATCTGGGCAGGAAAGAGCCTGGCGCTGGCCTCAGAGCTGGAGCCAGAACTCTCACCTCGTTCATCACACAGCTCTCCCTGGAACGGCCTTCATGGAAGTCAGCTTGAGAAGGACGTTCCTGCTGGGTCTCGTGGAATAAACAGTGAGAGTAGTAATAGCAATAGTGACTGACAGGCTTTTCCAGGCACACTATTTGATGCATTCAATTGTCAAAAAGCCTATGAGGAAGGTCTTCTGGATGGAGAAATTCAGGCTTATGGGTATCAAATTGCATTGGAAGTAGTGAAACTAGACCTTGTACCCTGGAGAATTATTCCTTCAGTGAGTAATTAAAATTTTGTGTAACGTTAATATTGGTTTTGAGCTTATATTTTAGAAGCATTTTAATATATACAGTTATTGATTTTTCAATTTTAGAAACTGTTATATTTATTGTAATAACTACATGTGTTAAAAGTAGGGTGCCTATTATTATACACGTCGTATTCCTCTTCTACAGGGAGAGCAAGGTTTTGAAGGCAGCAAAGGAGAAGCCGGTGAGAAGGTAAAGATCACTTTTCATACTTATCTGTGAGAACAAGCTGTGTTCTTGAAAACATTCTGAACTAGGATATCTAATTTGTTTTTGTGCTATCCATAAAATCAGTTCAATGATTCTATAGAAATTCTGTAAAATATTTGCCTCACTTAGAGTAGACTTGACAAATCAATGACTGTCAGACATCTTTCTAAACTTGCTTAGGTGGCAGTTATTTCTGCACACGTCTAGTGAGATCATTCCACTGATACAAAAACAATTCAAATATTTACTATGTTTTTGTGCTATAACAGCACTAAGGCACACATGATGTGTCCAAGCCTAAATAAATGCTTTATTTATATGTCATTCTACTTTATCAGTGGAATTTTACCTGAGGAAATACATAGGTAGAACTAAATAAATTATAATAGGATCCAACAGAAAATGGGTGGCATATTCAAAATAGAACAGTATGAAAGAGTTGAATAAAGGGAATGTTTAAAAGGTAGAGGCAGTGTTTTGGAAAACCAAGACTGTGTGGTATCACAGATCGGATGTAGGGAGCTCCTGAAATCCCCGCATGCTGGTTCCCAGACTCAGAGGTAAAGAAAACTCATGTGGAAAGGGCTGCAGATTGGAGCCGAGGCAAGTTGTTAACCCCTCTGTTCAAGCAATCATTCTGAATCAATTAAAACTGAAATCATTTGAATTTCAGTTCAAAGCCAATTGCTTTGAACTGAAAGCACGGAAGATAGAAGTGTCTTATTGTTGTTTAGTTGCCAAGTCATGTCTCACTCTTTTGTAACTCTATGAACTGTAGCCCGCCAGGCTTCTCTGTCCATGGAATTTTCCAGGCAAGAACACTGGAGCGGGTTGTCGTTTCCTACTCCAGGGCATCTTCCTGACCCAGGGATTGAACCTGCATCTCCTGCATGGGCAGGTGGCTTCTTTACCACTGAGTCACTATCTAGGATAGAAGTGTCTTAGTCATCCAGAATTTCCCTTCACACAATCATTTGCCTTCTTCTGCATTTCATATGTCTAGCTTTATTTTCAAATAGAACAAAAACAGTACCATTCCTTTGTTTCATAAAATGCCATGTAATTGGACAGCAAGAATGGAGGCTGGAAGGGGAAAAATATCATCTCAAATTAGACTGGATAGCCTGTGTTGAGTTTTCTGGGCAGTGGTCAGTAACTTGCTTCTTCATTAGGTATTTATAGAGAGAATGAGCATCTATTATAATTATAAGATAAATTATGCATGTTATAAGCTTTTTGGTAATTACGTTTCCTCACAGAACAGTGAGAAGGAGGAAGGACAGCTATACAATAAACCTATAACTGAGGAGGACTCCACTGAGTGATGGTTATTTTTTAAAAGAATCTTCCTTCTTAGGAGTCTCTTAAATATTCTTGCTTTAGAATAACAGTCATTGCAAGACCGTGGCATTAAATGAATGCTTTATTTACATACATTACTATTTTATTAATGGGACTTTACCTGTAGGAATAAGAGAGAATGAGCAAGAAAAACATATATTTTCTGTAATTTAAAGTCACCATCTCACTAAAATCTTGGTTGCTATTTTGATATTTTACATATAGAGTTGGTATTGCTCAGTAATAAATAGTTTCTCACAGGTTATGAGTTACAGAAAAACATTCAATACATTTGGCTTCAAAGATTTTCCTTCTAATTCCTTATATCAGTTAACTGTTGCCTTCAAATAGTCCATTTCACCAAGAGTGAAAATACTTATGGAGAATGTGGTTGAGATATCAGAAAGAAAGCAAGCACCAAAGAGAAAAGACAATATCTTGAATGATAAATACAATTCAAGTGGTTAATAGTCAAATGTAAGATTCACATAACATCTTTATGTTAGAAAATATGTTCTGCTTTGATTATCATTTACCATTTGTGGGACGTTTTAGCTTTTTCAGTGTTAATGCTGTTTAATTATGATACATGACCACACATATTTTTCCATAAGATAAATGACTGACATCAAGCCTTTGTTTTTAGATTAGTAACTTTTTGTTTCTGGATTAAACAGGAGAATTATGTGAGGCACTCATTTCAGTGTGAAGCCAGAATGAAATTTTTGGACTGCTCGTGTCACAATTTGTTTTCTGAACAAAGACAATCTCATTTGAATTTCAGTTCTTTGTGGAAAATCGAGTATACAGGGAAAATAAGACTCACTGTTCTTCCTTAGTTACTTTAATGCGGCATTTACTATGTTTAAAATTAGACTGTTATAAATGACATAATTCATTAGTTGCAAAGTGAAATAATTCAGGAAGTTATTGTTAGAGATATCATATCTTCCACAGCCACATGGCTTCTGGCCAAAAAAGGAAAAGTTTATCAACTAAAAGAAAATGCCACATGATGGTTTTCAGGTGATATTTCTATAAACTAATATAATAAACCAAGTAGAGAAATCTGCTGCTTTTCTTTATGGCGAGAAAAGGAGCTTTCAGGATGGCTTAATCCAAACCTGTCACATGGTTCCTCAACGTATTGAAGATGCTGCACTCAGTTCAGACACACACACACACGATGAAACCTGAACAACTACAGAGGACCTTGTTTGAAAGCATATTCCTGAGTCTATTGCACTTTATAACAGGACAGAAGCATAATAATTCATTAGCTGCACATGGACCAGATAAGTCAGTCCTGAAGTGAAAATTACTTGAGGGAATCATTCTTCCTCTCAAAGGTTCATTTACGGTACTGGTAGGACTCTCCCAGAAGACAGCCCTCTTCAGATTCGCCATGTTTTGCTTTATCTGAGGAGCGACCTTGACTCACTGCCCTGCTCCCGGCTAGAGCTTCATCCAGGGATCCCCGGATCTCTGACGGCATGGCCCAGGAGACAGGAAGGGAGAGGTCTATATTCTGGCTGAGGAATTGACCCCAAGCTGAGGTCCACGTTGGAATTTCTCTGTTTCTGTCAGACTGGTCATAACCATCCCTTCTTTGAGAGATTTTCCTTAGGTTCCTTCAGTATTACCATAGATGTGATGTGGCTACTGCTCGCGATAAACAAAGAGAAGAGTTCACTCTTATTTTTTGAATCCATGTTATTAGAGTGTGGTTGATTCACAGTGTTGTGTTAATTTCTGCTGTACAGCAAAGGGACTCAGAAATATATATATATATACACACACACACACATATATATATATTCTGTTTCATATGCTTTTCCATTATGGAAAATTCCACAGGACGCTGACTGCAGCTCCCTGTGCTATATGGTGGATCTTACTGTCTATCCACCCTACATGTAGAAGCTTGCCTCTGCCATCACAGTTGTTAACCCGTCCCCCTCAGCCCCGCCCCCTGGTAGCAGCAAGTCTGTCCTCTGTCTGTGGCTCCGTTTCTGTTTGTAGATAGCTTCATTTCTGTCATATTTTGGATTGCACAGTCTTTCTCTTCCTTTTACCTAGTTTTCTCTTGGATTTGCTTCAGTTCATGTGATAATCTCTCAGTCCATCCATGCTGCTGCAAATGTCATTACTTCATGCTTTTTTATGGCTGAGTAATATTCCATTATATATATATATATATATATACCACATCTTCTTTCAGGTTACTTCAGGTTACTTCCAGGCTTCTTGGCTATTGTAAATAGTGCTGTGGTGAACATGGGGGTGCATATGTCTTTTTTGAATTATATTAATAGTCTTGTCTGGATACATGCCCAGGAGCAAGATTGCTAGGTCATATGGTGGTTCTAGTTTTGATTTTTCAAGGAACCTCTATTCTGTTGTCCCTAGCGGCTGCACCAATTTATATTTCCACCAACAGTGCAGGAGGGTTCACTTTTCTCCACACCCTCCCTAGCATTTATTGTTTGTAGATTTTTTTAATGATGACCTTTCCAACTGGTGTGAGGTGGTTAAGAGTCAGCCAACTCTTTTGATGTAGCCAAATCATTTCCTGTTATATGATCAAAATAAAGGCAAGAATTAGATTCTGAATATCACTTTAGAAAAAGACCACTGGGCAGAGGTTCAGTAAGGTGATATTTATTCCGAAACCTTGATCCCAGTCTTTACTTTAGATCTTTGTGAAAATAGGAATATTACTTGGCTGCATGTATGAAAGAAAAGAGTAAATAGAAAAGCAAATGTAAACATCTGCTTTAAAACAGAATATTTGTAAACCATTGTTTCAGATCATGTAATTTAGTTTGCTTTTAAAATTATCATTTTTATATTATCAATCAAGCCTTAACTAAAGTTTAAAAACTAATTTCTTCATCATTAAACTTGATTCTGCTGTACTTTATTATTAAATATCATTTAATCATGACAAGCCTGCAGTAGCAACTGTTACTCATGTCACAGTGTTCCTGATATTTTCTAGCTAAAATATTGCCCATTTTGGTTTATTCAGCAGTGAAATTTAAGAAAACATGGGCACATGTGTGTGTGCTAAGTCACTTCAGTCGTGTCCAACTCTTTGCAACCCTATGGACTATAGCCTTCTGGGCTCCGTGGTCCATGGGATTCTCTAGGCAAGAGTACTGAAGTGGTTAGCCATGCTCTCGTCCAGAAAATCTTCCCGACCTATGAATCAAACCCACATCTCTTATGTCTCCTGCATTGGCAGGTGGGTTCTTTACCACTAGCACCACTTGGGAAGCCCAACATGGGCACACATAGCAGCAGATCCTTACAAGGATCTCAGACGCTTCAGCAAGTGTGCAACTTTTCCATTTGGTATTGAAGTTATTTGATCTCTTCAAGACCTTGTAAGTTTAGTGAAAAGGAAAAGAACAACCAAATTACTTTTGTCCACAGCTCCAGGAGATGTGACAGGGTGCAACAGTTGACATATTTTGAAGCCCAGAGTGTTTGTAATTCAGCAGGTTCTAACTCATTTTAAAAATTACAGGCAGCATCTTGATCAATGATCTCTTCTTTTACTCTGAGTTAAACTAATAACAATAACTACAAAACTAACAAAAGTATATGATTCCTGCTTTAATCCATCTATTAAAACT